TTTAGCAAATTACCTCCTAAGGCCACAATGTTGAAAAACTTAACAATTATTTTTTTGAAAGCAAAAAATAGAGGGGGAGTGAAAAAAATCATACACCTTCCATAGGAAACAACCAAACCCTAAATTGCTGTGTTTTTTATATGCCACAGTTAGGATTTTTTTTTTTTTTTTACCTTTCTTAATTCAAAAGTCAATGAAACATTTGTGTTACCTTCTGCCAGGCCACACGGGGACCTTTTTTCCACATGGTGATTGCAGGCGGGAGGAGGGTGGAAGGTTAATGGAGGGGCATTGGAAGGCTAAGTCTCATGCGCCATGGTGATAATTTATACCTTTATTTCAGGCCACATTCACCTGTGGAGCAGCAAGGCCTTGGAGGTGAGTCGAACTTGTTGCCCTGTTCAGCCCAGAGGCTGTCCCTATCCTGACAAGAGATTTCTTGCTTTGAATTATCTGTGTAATAAAAGGGTCCTTCCTAGCTTCAACTGACGTTCTGAGGCTGAGAGAGGAAGATGCATTTTTTTCCCCATCTAATTCTTTCTTTCACTTTTTTTTCTGATGAAAAATATTTTTTTTGGTTTGCATTTTGGAGGATTTTCTTAATATGCTGCAGACAGCTCCTGGCTTGTGGTCCACTCGGGGCTGTCTCTCCTCGGATTGGAATGACTAGGCAGTGAAAGAGACTTCTCTTTTCCAAGGAGTGCCTCTATTTTGGAATTCAGGATGGAGCATGCTGGCAACCTTTTGGGGGCACTTTAGATATGAATCAGTCGGAAGGCATAGCTATGATCCTTTTAGAGCCCTTAGTGCCAAACTGTATCCTGTGATTCATGTGTGTATTCATCTGATTAAAGACAAGACAGGTGATAAACAGAAAATAAAAGAAAATGAAGAAGAAATAAAAGAAATGTGAACTAGTCTGCCTGAGAAACTTGTTCCTGTTCTTTCTAATCAAAAATTAATTCTTTAAGTGCCACACATCTATTCGGGGTACCCTTGAGACACAACTCTGGAGAGCAGGCAATAAAAATAGGATGTCTCCTACACAGCTGGGACTTCCAGTTCCTTATTGCCCAGTCTAAAAAGTACCTGTTTCTATCCAGGGCTCATCAAAAAGATAAAAAGTAACCCAAACCTCAGGATTTTGGACTAATGTGAGGCCTAAAAGTATCACTCAATGGAAACAAGTAGAAATGATTTTTATGGTTGGTTGACTCATTCACAAATTTGCATGTGGGACAAAAGAGTTGTAAGATATGAGATATATGAGGGAAGAAAAAATTAGAAGCATTTCAAGCTTAACAAACTCTTCTTAATGTTTTTGGCAACCCAGAAGGTTAGAAGCCTTGTTCGTGAAAATTATCCAATTCTCCTTAAATGTAAGGAATTTACATAGAAAGAATGGTGACCATTCTTTCTAAGTAATTATCACCATTCTCATCATATCTCAGTTCTCCTCCTCATCATTATTTCTTTATTTTCTAGTTCGTTAGTATCTGTCATCTTTTTATTTTGTTCCTTCTATTTCTTTGGATTTCTTTTCTAGGTTTTTCTAACTTATTAAGTTGAACATTTAGTTCATTGATTTTTTATTGTAATTACCGGTTTATTTGGATATTTTATACTATGTTATTTTATGTTTTCAATTTTCAATGATTTTGCTTACTTTTTCTTTTTTCGATTTTATTAGTTTGACAGCATTTCTTTATTTGTATCCTTTCACTCCCTTCTTGGAATGGAATATGATTTAAGCATTTTATTTTGATTTTTTTTAAAGTTGCACTATAACTAGATTTAGCTAAGGAAGTGTGTAGCCTCCTGGCCCCTTACATGCATGGTCCTCCTCTAAGGACCAGATGTTTTTGGTAAAATTAAAAAATTTAAAATAGTTTTTTATTCTTTTCTTAAGAGAAAATAATGTAAGTTCCACAGATTATATAAGCTTCAGGTCCCAGAAAACCTGGTTATGCAATACGCTTATGAGTAGTTGTAGTAGGATTTTTGAGATGGAGTCTCACTCTGTTGCCCAGGTTAGAGTGCAGTGGCTCGATCTTGGCTCACTGCAACCTCCACTTCCTGAGCTCAACTGATTCTCTTGCCTCAGCCTCCTGAGTAGCTAGAATTACAAGCACCTGCCACCATGCCCAGCTAATTTTTTTTTGTACTTTTAGTAGCGATGGGGTTTTGCCATGTTGGCCAGGCTGGTCTGAAATTCCTGATCTCAGGTGATCCACCTGACTTGGCCCCTCAAAGTGCTGGGACTGGGATTACAGGCGTGAGGCACCACGCCTGGCCAATACCCTTATACTTTAATAAGCACTTTTGATGTGACCGAGTCTAAGCTTATCAACATTTCTACTCTAAGACGAACTAAATCCTTTAGCTTTTATTGGCCCCTCTTCCTTTTTCTATGCTATTGTTGACTGGGGTTTTGAATCCTTGTTTTTAAGCTTTCTAAGTTTAGGTACGCTTTTAATTTTTCTTAAAAAGTCAGTTTAGATTCATTTACATTTATAAATTTTCAAAATTATCAGTCTCTTGTAATTAACTTTTCATTCTTCTGTATTGTTTCCTTCCCTTTCTTCCTTCTTCCCCCCTTCCTTCCTTCCTTCCTTCCTTCCTTCCTTCCTTCCTTCCTTCCTTCCTTCCTTCCTTCCTTCCTTCCTCCCTTTCTTTTGAGATGGAGTTTTGCTCTTGTTGCCCAGGCTGGAGTGCAGTGGCACCATCCAGGGTCACTGCAACCTCCGCCTCCCTGGCCCAAGTGATTCTCCTGCCTCAGCCTCCTGAGTGGCTGGGATTATAGGTGCACAGCACCGCACCCAGATATTTTTTTCTATTTTTGGTAGAGATGGGGTTTCACCATGTTGGCTAGGCTGGTCTGGAACTCCTGACCTCAGGTGACTCACCCACCTCAGCCTCCCAAAGTGCTGGGATTACAGGCATGAGGCACCACACCCGGCCTATTCAGTTCCTGTTAAATGTGTTCTTTAGTATTTCTTGAATAACAGTCTATGAATGCTATACTCTCTAAATCCATCTTTACTTTACTTTTGCTTGTAAATAACATTTTAACTGCCTATAGGTTAACAAGTTCTTCTACATTTTTCTGGACTTTCTGATAGGTGAAGCAATGCCTGCAGTCAGCAGCATGTGCTTCCTTTGTGGCAAATCTCTATGTTTTTTTGTAATTATCTTTAAGATATTTCCTTTATTTTTATGTTTTCTAATTTTATTTTGATGGTTCTAGATATAAACTTATTTTTACTTTCTTGGGAATTGGGGTGCTTTTCTAATCTGATTTTCTTCATGATCTTCTTCAGTTCTGCAAAATAATCAATTATTTTTCCTTCAAATATTATCTTTTTACTTGGTGGATTTCTTATTAGATGAATATGGGGCATTATTTCTGTTGCTTAACTCTTTTGACACTTTATATTTTTTATTTATTTGTGCTGCATTTTGAGGGATTTTTTCTCAGAATTGTTTTCCAGTTTATTGAGTCTTTCATCAGCTTTATCTAATCTGCTGTTTAACCTATCCAATGTTTATAAACGTATTAATGACCACAATTTTAGTTTCTAGACGTTTTTAAAGTTTGTTATTAAAAATGCCGGCTTTTTGCACATTTCTTGTTCTTTAGTTATGATTTGAATCTGGTGGGTTCTTTGGGGTAGGAGGAGTCATACGCTCTCGCCCTAGTTGCATAGCTGTCCCTACAAAGCAGCTTTACTTTTTTTTTTTAATTTTATTTTAGATTTCTTGGGATTTCATATTTCAGATAAAATCCTGTTTCAGGCTCCCCTACACCTGGATAATAATATAAATTTGGTCTTCCCATGTACTCATGGCACAAAGTTGGTGTTTTGATTTCTTGCGAGAGAACTTTTTCTCTTTTATAGCTGCCAGTAGGGAGAACGTTACATTGCTGTCTCCCCAGGTTGGTGAGTGGAGTTAATTTCTCTTTGCATGACACGGACAGTCTTGGCTTTATAGAAGTAGCTATTCCAGGGCCAGGTGCGGTGGCACATGCCTGTAATCCAAGCACTTCTGGAGGCCAAGGTGGGTGGATCACCTGAGGTCAGACATTCGAGACCAGCCTGATCAACATGGTGAAAACCCATCTCTACTAAATACAAAAAATTTGCTAGGTATCGTGGTGCATGTCTGTAATTCCAGCTACTTGGGAAGCAGAGGCAAGAGAATTGCTTGAACCTGGGAGGCAGAGGTTGCAGTGAGCCGAGATCACGCCATTCCACTCCAGCCTGGGCAATAAGAGCAAAACTCTGTCCAAAACAGACAGACAAACAAACAAACAAACAAACAAAAAACACTATTCCAGCTCTACACCTACTTCAGGTGAGAGATTTCCTCACCTGTTCCAGTGTGGGTGTTGAAGTCACCACCCCAAGCCTTAGAGTCTGTATCAAGAAAGATACTCCTGTGAGCAGCGGTGGCGTCTGCTCTATTTTTGCATGAACTTTGAGATTCTAGTACTGGGAGGGTTCCTTTTGTCTTTTGAATTTGCTTGTGCATTGTTACCTATTTTCAACGTATTTATATATACTTTCACATCAAGAGGTGGACTTCTCTACGATAGATGGGTCTACTGTGCAGCTGAAGTCTCACATAGGTATTTAGAGCATTTCCGGCTACTTGAAATTTGTTGTGTTGCAAAGGGTTTATAGCTTCTAACATGCTGGGAACAATGACTGTATTCAGTGAGGAACTATTACATGATTGTTTTTCAAAGTCCTAATGGAAACCACTCAGGCCACACCCTCCCCTTCTTACTCTCCTGAAAGAAGAGAAGGATCGACAGTGGCAAACAGCAGCCGCAGCAGAACAACACCAAGTGCAGGCTCCCGGCTCAGAAGAGATTGCTGTGCCTCCTTTGTGTGGTTTCCGGTGCTCCAAACTGTCAGAGAACCTTCTCTGGGACTGAACTATAGAAATCATCCCTAGAAGAACAGTCTTACGTCACATAACTGGAAACAAGAGAGTGACATAGATGTTGGTTTTTATTCATAAAACAGACCTTGTGTACTTGTACACAGTTAGCAAGCATTTTAAGTGAGCTAGCTGTTGTCCTCAGCACTCCATTGCAATATCTAATTTCATCTTTACCAAATCCTCTAATACAGACACTGTCATTAACTCTATGTGAGTAAACATGTCAGCTGATGAGGAGACTCAGTCAGAAGGTCGGTAACTTGTTGAGGAAGTCTTAATGGTAGGATTCAGAACAGTACACCTTGAGTCAGTCCATGCTGTAAATATAGAAATGATAATGATTAATTAATTAGTAATAATAATAGCAAATAACATTTATTAAGTGGATATTATATTCCAAGCAATTTTTTAACATCTTTTGTAAAATTAACCAATTTACATCGTTACAAAAATCCCATGAGCCTGTTATTATTTTCGTCCCTAATTTACAGGTGAATATAAACGGAGGCACAGGCTAAAAGTTACATTTTTTTTTTTAAGTTGCACTATAGCTAGATTTAGTTAAGGAAGTATATAGCCTTCTGGCTCTATACTAGTAAATTCACACAGCTAGTAAATGGTAGATTTTGGGTTAGAACACAGATAGTCAAATTGTAAAGCTCACGCTTAGAAATTATCCTCAGTGATAAGAAAGGATGAAAGATTAGTTAGCTGTGTGCTCTGATGGTCCAGTTAGGAAAAAACCCGGGTTAGAGCTGAAATCTTGGTAATAAGGAAGGGGGAGGGACAGATATGAGAGCCATGAAAGAGTTGAAACAAAACCTCTCGGCTTCCTATAGGTTTGGGAGATGAAGAGTCTGAGGGTCAGGGAGGACCTAAGGGTAATTTCCTGACCCCTGGCTTGTGTCAGATCATAGTGCTTTTACCCAAAATGAGGGTAAGTAAGGAAGTTTTGGATGCAAACATGTGCTTCGCTTTATAAAAGAAATATGAAGATGAAAAATTCTGTTGAATTCAACTATTATTTTGATAACACTTAATCAAAGATTCACCTATTAAATAATTCAAGAGCTTCTGTAGTTGATTTTTGTGAAGTGAATTTTCTGCAGCCTGAATGCTAGTGTGCACCCCTCTATATGTAAGTAAATATTCATGTTTCATTTGCCTGAGTGAAGGGCACCTCACCACTGTTTTGTCAAACGTCATCTCAGTTGGTTACCTATTTTCTAGCTGTGTAAAATTAAGTGACAATTTAACAAGTTATTCACAAAATCCACTCCGTTGAGACCATGTGTGCATTGAGAATTATGCTTGCTGTCCCTTTTAAATGAAAGTGTGTTCCCTCATCAACAGCCAGGAGCTCACACAGTGGTTGATTTCCCAGAGTCATGATAGATTTGTAGTGATCCAGCCAAACTCTTGCACATGGCTCCTCCCCCTGACTTTAGATATGCATCTTCAAGACAGGTGGCCTGTGTTGGGAGTAGTCTGGGGACATGAATGAGACAAAAGCTAAGTAACCCACATGGGCACTGAACCCCTAACCTTCGCCTCATTAGCACAGTGCTCTGACCATCTGAGCTTACCCGCCACAGACTAATGATGTGTGCATGGAGGCATAGCGACATCAATCACATTTTCCAAAGCAAAACTCACTATCCTGAAAGTAACCGGAAGAACCACCCGTATAGACCTGCTCACCAAGGGAACGCAAAGCTATCCTAATGAATGGCTGACGTGCTGCTTTTCCGCAATCCATTCATTCATCATTCTAGATCCTAAAAGGATTTCAAGATGCCTAGGAATTCACCTTAGTTAATTCACACTTTTACGAATGTACTTCTTCCTTGTCAGGTACTCTAGCTAGCATAGATACAACCTGTGATTCTGATACGTCAAGAAGCAAAACCTTGAAATTCCCCCTAATAGGAACGCTTCATCTGTTTTCATAGATAGATCTTTAATGGTTATCACTGAGCTTTCAGGTAATCTTTAAGGTCTGAAATTTTAGGTTAAAAAAATGTATGTTTGTGTGTGTGTGTGTGTGTGTGCACAAGTACACATTTTTCTCTTCTGGGAAATATTTTCAATTTTGTTTAGATTTTAAGTATATGTGATTCAAAGCCTAAGATCTGTGGCCTTAATTCAGTAAAGAAGATAAGAGAGAAAAGACTTCCAAAAACATACTTACCATAAAGCCTACTCTGGGTAAGAAATAACTTATATTAATTTTATTTTATTTTTAAAATTTTATCTTATTTTAGGTACTAAGATACATGTACAAGATGTATAGGTTTGTTACATAGATAAACATGTGAATTGGTGGTTTGCTGCACTATCAATCCATCACCTAGGTATTAAGCCCAGCATGCATTAGCTATTTTTCCTCATGCTCTCCCACCTCCCTCCATCAACAGGCCTCATTGTGTACTGTTGCTCTCCCTGTGTCCATGTATTCACATTGTTCAGCTCTCACTTATAAGTGAGACCATGCAGTGTTTGTTTTCCTGTTCCTGTCTTAGTCGGCTGAGGATAATGGCTTCTAGCTCCATCCATGTCCCTGCAAAGGACATGATCTCATTTCTTTTTCAGGCTGCATAGTATTCCATGGTGTATATCTACCAAATTTTCCTTATCCAGTCTATCACTGATGGGCATTTAGATTCCATGTATTTGCTATTATGAATAGTACTGCAGTGAACATATGTGTACATGTATCCTTATCATAGAATGATTTATTTTCATTTGAATATATATCCAGTAATGGGATTGCTGGGTCAAATGGTATTTCTGGTTCTAGGTCCTTGAGGAGTCTCCACACTGTCTTCCACAATGGTTGAACCAATTTACATTCCCACCAACAGTGTAGAAATGTTCCTATTTCTCTGCAGCCTTGCCAGCATCTATTGTTTCATGACTTTAATCATCACCCATTCTGACTGGTGTGAGATGGTATCTCACTGTGGTTTGATTTGCATTTCTCTAATGATCAGTGATGCTGAGTTTTTTTCATGTTTGCTGGCTACATACATTTCTTCTTTTGAGAATTGTCTGTTCATGTCCTTTGCCCACTTTTTAATGAGCTTTTTTTTTTCTTGTAAATTTGTTTAAGTTCCTTGTAAATTCTGGGTGTTAGACCTTGGTTAGATGGATAGATTATAATAATTTTCTCTCATTTTGTGAATCATCTGCTCACTCTGATGATAGTTTCTTCTGCTGTGTAGAAGCTCTTTAGTTTAATTAGATCCCATTTGTCAATTTTAGCTTTTGTTGCAATTGCTTTTGGCATCTTCATTGTGAAATCTTTGCCCTTGCCTATGTCCTGAATGGTATTGCCTAGATTTTCTGCTAGGGATTTTATAGTTTTGGATTTTACATTTAAATCTTTAAACCATCTTGAGTAATTTTTGTATAAAGTGCAAGGAAGGGGTCCAGTTTCAATTTTCTGCATGTGACTAGTTAGTTCTTGCAGCACCATTTATTAAATAGGAAATACTTTCTCCTTTGCTTGTTTTTGTCAGGTTTGTTGAAGATGAGATGGTTGTAGATATGCAGTCTTATTTCTGAGTTCTCTATTCTGTTCCATGGGTCAATGTATCTGTTTTAGTACCAGTACTATACTGTTTTGGTTACTATAGCCTTGTAGTATAGTTTAAAGTCAGGTAGCTTGATGCCTCCAGCTTTGTTCTTTTTGCATAGGATTGCCTTGGCTATATGGGTTCTTTTTGGTTTCCATATGAATTTTAAATTATTTTTTTCTAATTCTGTGAAGAATGTCAATAGTAATTTAATGGGAATGGCATTGAATCTAAATTACTTTGGGCAGTATGGCCATTTTCATGATACTAATTATTTCTATACATGAGCATGGAAAGTTTTTCCACTTGTTTGCATCCTCTTTGATTTTCTTGAGCAGCTACTTATATCATTTTTAATGATGGACAGAGAGAAGGTTGATACCATGGCAAGTGTATAATAGCATCTGAATGCCTGAGGTTGAAAGTGTGCATGTATTACAGAAGCAACTGTATTATTTAGAGAGTGAGTGATTGTACCTCTGACCAGCCTGGCTGTGGGGACATCTGATGAAAGTGTGCACCTGGCACCAAACTCCAGAACCCTGGGTGAGGGATCACATCTGGTTTATTGAAAACTGTTGCTAATTTTATCCAAAAAGGTCTACATGGAAAGGGGAGAAAAGGGGAACGATCCACAGATTTCCAGCTTCCTCTGATATGGATTTTGGAAGATTCCCGGAAAGATAAAAGGGTTGGAATATGTAAATAACCCAGCATCAGAATTGGCAGAGAGGTGATGCTAAAGGACAATAAGTAGAAATGAGAACCGTTCTGGAAAGTTTGTACTGGAGGGTACCAGATGGTTTACATACATCATCTGGCAAATTCTGACAGCAGCCCCTGATGTAGACTTAACAATATTACCCCATAGTTAGAAATGAGGGCAAGTAGCAATTGGAGAAAGTTAAGTAAATGGCCAGGTGTCATGCAGCCACAGTCCTGGCATCAGTATTTGAATCTAGCCTGCTTACTCTGCAGCCTGTGCGCTAAGCCAGGGGCCAGCAAACTGTGGCTCACAGGCCAGATTCAGCCCACTGTCTATATTTGGAAGCAAAGTTTTGATGGAATGCAGTCACTCTCATTTGTTTGCATGCTGTCTATGTCTGTGTCTGTGCTCCTGTGGCAGAGAGGGGTGGTTGTAATAGAGACTATCTGACCTGCAGAGAACTGAGGCCCTGAACAAATGAAAATTCAGGGCCTCCAGTTCATAAATTATTAATAATTTTAAAACTGTAAAACACTAAACCAAACAAATGGCCCTTCCAAAGTGTGGGGCTGTGTGCGACTGCATAGTTCTCATGGCCTTGAAGCCAACTTCTGGGCCCACAAAGTCTAAACTATGACTATATGGCACAGTACAGAAATATTTTCCTCTGATGTTTTTCTGTTTCCAGCCCATATATATAAAGCTTCACTCTTCCACAAATGAGAGAAATGGATGAGGTTTCCCACAAATGTAGATGGTCCTGAAGTATTCACCACAAAAAACTATCCTTGAGATTCTGTCCTTATCCAATTTTTGGTGCTGAAATTCTCTTTTTGATGAAATGATAGGAAGAGTTGATAATAGACATTTGTTTGTCTTATGTCCTTAATTGGCAAAATAAAAAGTTTATTACCGTATGTCAGGAATCTAATTAAAAAAGAATTACCAGTATAGTAGTCACTAGAGGTACATAATGTTAAATGGATAGACAGAAAAAAACAGAACACAGTGTTGGGTAAAACCCAGAGTGAGGTATAAAGTGCAGCATCTCTGGCACACATAAATAAATACACACTCTCTCTACTTCAAACATGTGTTCATATCAAAGATATATACCAAACTTAGTGGCAGTGGAGAGGGGAGGCTGAGATTGGGAATGGAGTTGAAGAAAAAAGCATGAGATTAGACAAGAGAAAGGCCTTGTACCTATTGATTTTCATAATGCGACTTGAACTGAGAATGCAATTAACTGAACTGAACTTTTACCGTCTGAAATCCAAAACACAAACTGTCCTCACAGTGACACTTGAAATGCCGACTTGGAAAGCACTCCCTCAATGCTCTGCAGGGCATGCTGAGATAGACAGGTCTGCTCCTGGCCACTGCTGCTCAGACATCCCAAAGCCGCATTCGAATAGCACTTTATGGTTTGCAAAGCTGTTTCTCTTTCATTAGTGTTGGTATTCTTATACCCACTTTACAGACAATAAACCGGAAACTCCAAAAGATTAAAATAATTCAGCAATCAACACAAATGTGGCAGAACCTAGGCCCACGCCAGGTCTTGTGACATTCAGTATTATGCTTTTTTCTAATCTCCCCATAAAAGTTGACTTCCTGGCCGGGCGCGGTGGCTCACGCCTGTAATCCCAGCACTTCGGGAGGCCGAGGCGGGTGGATCACGAGGTCAAGAGATCGAGACCATCCTGGTCAACATGGTGAAACCCCGTCTCTACTAAAAATACAAAAATTCAGCTGGGCATGGTGGCGTGTGCCTGTAATCCCAGCTAGTCAGGAGACTGAGTCAGGAGAATTGCCTGAACCCAGGAGGCGGAGGTTGCGGTGAGCCGAGATCGCGCCATTGCACTCCAGCCTGGGTAACAAGAGCGAAACTCCGTCTCCAAAAAAAAAAAAAAAAAAAAAAAAAGTTGACTTCCTGATGGGGGAATATTCATCGTGCTTTAAGGGTGACAGCCTAATTAGGAAATGTTTACTTTTATGAAAAGTCTGTTGGTGACATCTTTGAATACACTTGCCAATGAAGAAGGTATTCATCCCTCACAGTCTCTACCTCTGCCTCCTTCTTTACTGTTTTCTCCCATTCTCATACCCATCTTTACCAAATTATGGGGCCAAAGTGACCCTCAGAGGTGATTCCAATTTTGCACCAGGGTAGGACAAAAGTCAAACAATGACACGATAGTAACCATTTATGCCTTAAATGAAGTAATTATGATTTTCTAAGTCTCTTTAGTGTACTTGCCATGTCAACAGCCTTGCAAATGGACTGTTCTTACTCATGTCTAACTTGAATATTTTTGATGCATTTTAACTCTATTCCTGGCCTCAAAAAAAAAAAAAAAAGCCGTTTATATTCTAATGCATACTTGAAGATTGTTACTGAGTTTTCTACCCTACTTGGGACTAAGTAAACCAAGGTCCTTTTGCATTTTTTTCATAAGGACCATTCACAAGACTATTCATTTTTGGTTTTCATTTATGTCGCATTTTATACTCTTTTGTCGGTGACTTTGTCTTAGACATTGCATGGCTCATCTAGACACTTACTGTGATAGACATCTAGGCTAAAGGGATAGGCTAGACCAATGATGCTCAAAGTTTAGACCTTGGACCAGCAGCATCAGCATCACTAGGGAATTTGTTAGAAATGTAAATTGTGGGGCACCACTTCAAACGTACTGAATGAGAAGCTTTGGGAATGGGGCCCCAAAATCTGGTTTAGCAAGCCTTCTAGGGAGCTCTGATCTATGTCAAAATTTGAGAATTACTTTTCAGCACACTCTTTCCTCTCCCTTTGTGGACAAAAGACTTTTCAGCTCCATTTGTGTTGAGCATGGCCACCTAATTTACATTGGCCAATGGAATGTTAGTGAATGTTATATAATCCTTAAATGTGCTTGTGTGGCTTGGGTTGGCTCTTGGGCTGTGGTGATTAAACATAAGAGAAATATGCACCTGGTCCAAGACTGTGGAGTTACATGGAACAGAACAGCTCAGTTTGTTTCAAGGAAAAGTAAAAACATAAATAAACTCTTAAGATGTCTGTCTCCCTTACAGTCTAGACTCCATGATGGGTGGACAGCTTAGGATGCATTAGAAAGCAAATACTTGCTCAGTCAATGAACTGGATGAGGCCAGTCTATCATGCAAAATGCTAAAAATAACTAAATAAATCAATGCACGGAAAGAACTGATTACATAGTTCTTTATGAATAAAATAAATCCCCAATCATAGCAGATTAAGTGAATAAAGCAGATAAAGTAAGTAATTTTCTCACAGTCTACAATGTCTGGAGGGAGACTGATGCTGTCCATTGGTTTTGTGGGTTGATGATCAAGGTCAGCATCTCTGTGGAGAAGGGGCTGGTACTGCTCAAGTTGGTCCCATTCTAGGTATTTTAATAGAGGGTATTTAATGAAGGGAATTGGCTATGTAAACACTGGAAGAGCAGAGAACCAAGTGAAGGTAGTGAGACCCTCTAGATATTAACAGCAGCAGAAAAAAACAGGTAGATAAAAGGAATCATTTCTTCTGGCATCTTCTTTGCCCTAATTTTTTTTTCTGGATTAGAGCCATTTCATCTGTTTATCACCTACTGTTTCCCTCATCATAGTAACAGTGCCTCATATTTTCTCACTGCATAGCTTGCAAAGCACTTTCATACATTGTACTTGTATTATTTAATTTTGATTTTGATTTTCAAAATAGGTTTTAATGTAAGTAGATTTATCGTTTTATGGATGGAGAAACCAAGTCTCAGTTAAGCATTAAATGCTAAGCAGAAAGTGATTTAGCCATTTGGGACAGAGCCTGGACTAGAGCCTGAGTGTCCTGTGTCCAACCTTAGGGCAAATTCCACATTTCTACATAGAACATCTCATAGTTAGCAGATGACAGTTAAGTAGAATGTCAAGAGGGGAAAGGTCAGGGGTTGGATACCTGGGTTCAAACTCTACCTCTAACCTCATTTTTTCTGTTAAGAAACTTTGTAACTCTGAGTCTCACTTTCTCTTATTAAAATGGGATCCTAAGACTGGGTGTGGTGACTCACGTCTATAATCCCAGCATTTAGGGAGGCTGAGGTGAGAAGATTGCTTGAGGCCAGGGGTTCAAGGTTGCGGTGAGCTGTGATTGTGCCACTGCTTTCTGGCCTGGGTGACAGAGTGAGACCCTGTCTCAAAAAACAAAATAAATAAAATGGGACCATAGTAGTACTTTCCTTATAAGCTTAATATGAGGATTTAATGGGATACAATGTGCAAAAGTCTTACTAAAATCATAGCCAATCACATACATGAATCAAAGATCTCCTTAACAAAATATCTCTTACTCTGTGAAGGGTGTATCTGTGTATGTGTTTGTGTGTGTGTACAAGGTAAGGGCGATGCTTACAGTCTATCTAATAAAGACATTTTCTACTTAGTAAAATTAAAAACTTCTGTTATTATTTATCTTAAATCTGAGCAATTCCAATTATTAAATGAATAAGTTTCTTACCAGTAGGCTGACGGCTTCAATCCAACTGATTTTGGCTTATAAATATCAGCTAGAAAAACTAAAAACAAATTGAGCAATTCTTTAAAAAGAACTTTAAAAAATTGTGGTAGATTACATATGACATAAAATTTAGCATCTTAGCCATTTTTAAGTGTACAGCTCAGTAGTGTTAAGTACATTCATCTTAAGTACAACTATCACCACCATCCGTCTTGAGAGCTATCTCATGTTGCAAAACTGAAACTTCATTTCCATTAAATAATAACCCCACATTCCTCCCTCCCTCAGCCCCTGGCAATCACTGCTCTACTTCTATCTCCATGAATTTGACTATTCTAGGTACTTCATATAAATGGAATTATATAATATTTATATTTCTGTGGCTGGCTTATTTCACTAGTGTAGTATCCTTCAGGTTCTTTCACATTATAGCATGTGTCAAAATTGCCCTCCTTTTTACAGTTGAATAGTATTTCATTGTATGTATACACCATATTTTGATTATTTGTTCATCCATTGATGGACACTTGGGTTGCTTCCACCTTTTGGCTGTTGTGAATAATGCTGCTCCAAACATGGCTACATGAGGAATTGTACAATTGTACAATTCAAAGCCTTCTTTGAGAAGAGAATAAAAAAGAAAAGTTTATGAAGAAAATGGTTTAGTGCAGTTATGCTACATTTGAATTAATAGAGTCTGGTTAGCTTATGAAGACATAAACAGAGATACCAAATTGGTTGCCTTAGGAGAGGTCAGACTTGAAAACAGAAACCTGAAAATTATCAACAAAGAGAAAATTTCTAAAATCATAAAGGAAGTGATTTTCATTATGGTGGAGATGGGATATAATATGATCACTGAGGTGAGGAGGGTGTATTGAATTTTCAAGACTCATCCTTAAGACAAAGTACAGAAATTTAAGCTCAACAGAGGAATATAGATAAGTCAGAGAGAGAAAGCTTATCGCTTGAAGAAAATTTCCAGAACCGATATGTTATGAAGATAGTCTGTAAAAGAGCTGAATTGGTAGAATGCAAAGGGCTATTCAAAAACAGGACAGAATGCAGTTTCCAGAAATGGAGTGAAAATACAGTTATCTGAAAACTGAGGTCAGAGGAAATCTACAGTAGGAGAGATGGAGAAATCATTCAGAAGGCATTTATTTCCTTTTTCAACAAACAAGGCTGGGCACTTTCACTGTATTTTCCAAAGGCAGTCACAACAATATCTGCAGTACTGCATGTGCTTCTAGAATCTTGCCACACTAACATCAGGAACCAAAGTCAAATTCCCTTGTCTTTGAATCTAGTAGGCTTGTGACTCACTTGTAACTAAGAGATTGCAGTGAAAATTATGGTGTGTGACTCCCAAGGCCAGGTCTCTAAAGGCTTCATAGCATCCACTTTGCTGCTAAAATGCTTGGTCTCAAAGCCTTCAGCTGACATACAGATAGCCCTCCCATCGTCAGACGGCCATGATGTAAGGAAGCTCAACTATTCAGATGAAGAGGGACCACACAGAAAGACCTAGAGACTATGCAACAGAGAAGACGTTCAGAAGATCCCTGTGACATCTTCAGCAGTTGCATGAGAGACCCTGAGGCAGAATCCCTGGGACTATGGGTCAAAAATTAGCCCTTCTCTAGTTTCTAACTCATAGGAATTGTTGAAGATAATACGATGATTGCTGTTGTTTTAAACTACTACATTATGGTATTTGCCACATAATCTTGGGTAGTCAGAGCCCTATTTAAGGGCCAGGCACTGTTGTATGTACTGAAGCGCTGTGCTTTGAAAATAGAGCTGTCCTTGTTTTCATGATATTTATGGATTGGTTAGAAACAGGGAAAGTGATAATATTTGGACAAACATTAGCCAAAAAGACAGGATGGGATGATCAAGAATAACGATAGAGAAAAATATCAATGACCAGGTGTACCTACAACTTTCTTGACATCTGGGGGTGAATGAGACAGGCAAATACCTTATATGCAAGATGAGCCCTGTTCCTTTTCCACTTCCTTGCTGCTGGCCAGGAAAGGATGTGGAAAATGGAAAATGCCAGGCAGAAGTAAATAAGAGGGAAAGAAGGAAACTTTAATGGCTCCCTGGGGACAAGTGTAACCTGAAAGGTGCAGAGATGTTTTTCACCAGTTTCTGGAGATGAGCTAAATGCTGTTACAATAATCCCCCTTTTGGGGGCACTCGGGGGTCACGCTTCCTCCCAGGTACTTATTGTTAAGCAGTGGGCAGAAGCATCCCTGGCTGTGGGTGCTTTGTGGCCAGAACGAAGGGCAAAACAAGTGTTTAACACTCTGCCGCCCTGCCGGGGCATAATTTATAGCATTTTAATTCTCCTACTTGTCTCTGCCTAAGAATTTCTTATAGCATTATTTAATGATGTGAGTTCAATGGGCAATTTTAAAACCTACTTAATTTACGATTTCTTTCCTCAGTGATGCAGTCAGAAGTGCTGCACACCATACTGCAGTGGTAGCAGCCTAACTGTGATGCCGAGAAAAATCATCCAACACCAATTAATACTTTAGCAGCCTCCAACTTTCTCTCCCAGGACCCCAATAGCCATAAAAGGATGCTAGGGAGTTGTACAGATCAAAGAAAGAGCGAATCATGTTAAAAGAATGGCATCAAACACATCCTATGCCTAGTCTTAGAATGCCCCCATGTCTTTAGATGTCCTACAATGTGAAGGGAATGAGTTTTACAGGGCAAATGCAATACACACAAAGGAGCAAAGGATGTGATCTCAAATTGAGTCAGTAGTTGGGGAAGAAAGACATGAAGAATATGCCCAGTAGCACTGGAGAAACTTGTTACTGTAATAAGCTCAGGAATCGCATGTACAGATCTCTGACATTAGTGAATATATATTAGTAAATTAGGATGGCTATGAATATTCACGATTCTTCTGAATGGACCAACCGCAATGGCTGACAATAGGCAAAAGAGAGAGGGGGTGGAAATGAGGGATAGAACAAGCAGGTGCCAGGAGTCCTATTCTGGCAGATAACGTCTGATTCACTGTCACCAACTCTGCTCCCAAGATGTTTCTCCATCAGAGCAGTGGCAAAGCTGATAGGTAGCAAGAAGGAATCTCACCCACAGGTTAAATATTCCACTCCTCCCAGGCAAGTTAGAGAGGCTCATCATGTCTTATGGCAAATCAATTTCAGAACATTTGTTCTTGGCATCTGGCAAACCAGTAGGTCACAGTTTCAAATCCAGAATTGTAATAACTAAAGGGCGTTACCTCACCTTGGAGAAACTTCAGACGACCTCTGCGCAGTCTCATGCAAAAGGCAGCTTCAGTCTCAGCTCAGTTCTTAATAGAAAAATGTCTGTGTCACTTAACTGATGCCAGCAGTTAACAGAAGGAAAAGCTACCAGGTCTCCCCTCCTCATCTTGATATATGAAGCTGGTGAGAATGTGTCTGGTCATACGGATGGAAAGCTTCAATTTAGCCGCAGACATCAAAATTATCAACGGAGCCCTTTCACAAGCATAAAATCCAAACTGGAGAGAGATTGGAGAAAGAGAGAGGCTCAAATTAGTATCCAAACATGCCTGTTTCCTAATGCTCATTCAGACAGAGGTTCAATGACTGGAAATTATTGAAATGAGGCCGATGTCAAGGGGATGCTGCAGATACAGCTACTTCCCAGCACCAGTGATTGTGTTCCTACAGTTGCAGGATGCTGCTTCCATCTCCACTTTGGGAAGAGTCCTTAAGTACCTGCTGGTGCGACTTTCCTCCCTGTCATCGAGTTGAACAAACGTAGGGAGTTGTAAACTTTGAGACTTGCTGCGGCTAAATTGAAGTAGCAAATTTCCCATCGTGAGATTCAGGAAAGTCACCTGTTCTACCCCAGATCCCAGCAGGGGCATACTTTCAGAATCTATTTACTTTCCCTCTCCTGTCATCTCCCCACTCTGCTTCTCCATTTACCCTGATGGGGTGCCATCCACGTTGGGGCAGGAGAGAAGCCATTTTGAAATATTCAGTTAGTTTCCTTCCTTCCTTCCTTCCTTCCTTCCTTCCTTCCTTCCTTCCTTCCCTCCTTCTCTCCCTCTCTCTTTCTTTTCTCTCTTTCTTTCCTTCTTTCTTACTATCCACATTGCACCAGAAGAGAAGCCATCTTGAAATACTCAGTTTCCTCTTTCCTTTCTTCCCTTCCTTCCTTCTTTCCTTCCCTCCCTTCCTTCCTTCCTTCCTACTTTCCTTCCTTCTTTTCCTTTTCTTTTCTTTTCTTCTTTTTTCTTTTCTTTAACAGAGTACCATGAGAATTGTTTTTCATTTTGTCAGACCTACAAATGTAAGCCATCTAAGAACTAAGGAAATGTTCAGGCTTACATTAGGGTTTTTGTTACTATTATTCCATCTGAGAGGCCCAAGGTCTGGCTGAGTGGCTCATACCCTTATCCCAGCAATTTGAGAGGCCAAGGTGGGAATGATCTCTGGGAACCAGGGGTTTGAGATCAACCTGGGAGAGTGTGGGACCCTACCTCTCTTAAAAAAAAAAAAAAAAAAAAAAAAACGTGGTCCAAAGCCAGACATTCTTGGCTCTGAAAGAGATGGAAGGTCAGAGAAAGAGGTACATGCCTTTTTAAAAATCTCTAACCACAAAGATGCATTGCAACACCCACAAAGACGCATTGCAATGTTTTTGCTGTGTTTTTTTTTGTATAAATTTAGGGGGTACAGAAGCAATTTTGTTACAGGGGTATACTGTATGGTGATGAACTCTGAACTTTTGGTGTATTCATCACCCGAATAATGTATATTGTATTCAATAAGTCATTTCTCATCATGCACCCCCTTTCACCCCCTCCTTCCAGGTCTCCCATGACCATCGTTCTATTCTCTGCAGTCACGGTCCATGGGTACCCACGTTGTTCAAGGAGCTCAGAAATATCTTCTATTTTGGGTGGGTTGGGGGAACCATTCGGAGGTGACAAACAGAATTAAATAATGAAACTCGTTTTTTCTTGAGCGGAAAATATATATATATATATAAATATCCTGAGCCAGGATGTATGACCAGACACTGCTAAAAGTTGATGAAGGAGCTCTTTGTGTGCTAAAATGTTGGTGAGAAACCCCAGGCATTTCCATATCTCAATGCTGTGCTCTGAGCAAGGGCCCTGTGGCACCCGGCGGGAAGCAGGCTCTCAATGACCTTCTTCACCAGCACCTAGAGTCCAGAGAGGAGGACTGATTGGGTCATCCGAAAGATCTTCCTTCTGAAATGCAGGCTCCTCACAAACACCACCCAAAACACTGAGGTTGAGGCAACGTGCTTATTGTTTTATGTTAAATATTGAAATTAAGTTCAATATTGAAAATATGAAAGAGAAAAAACTGTGTGCAATTCAGCATCTGACTTTACTTCCCTTTAGAACAAGATCATAAAAACAAAACAAAAAAAACTACCTTCTTAACATTTATGTTAACCCCTTCACTCCATAGAAGAATATGACTTACAATACACAAGCTTTCTTCCCTCCCTTCCACTATACCACCAAACAAAAGGGAGGAGAATAATCTGTCATATATTATTTTACATATACTTGAAGAGTTCAGATATTCTTAGATGTAAAAATTTTAAATGCAATATAAAACATCTTCAAGTGAAAGATATAAATATGCTTTTTGATTTCACAAAAGAAACACTTCATAATTTATAGTATCCATTGTTGAGGAAAGAACACCTTCACTACTCATGAATTATTGCTTTCTTCTACATGGTTAAATATTCACTGTCTGTCTATCTGTCTGGTTCACATTTTTTTCTGTTTATTTTTAGCACTCTCAGAAATAAAGAATACATTTGAAACTCAAAGCACAAGGAATTTTATGATAAATTGTGGCAAACTGGCAGAACTGAGATTGATACGTTACACATCTACAAACCAATGCATGCAATTGCGTTGGTTACGTCCCAATGATGTCTAAGGCTCCATGGATAATCTACCAGAATTGCATCACTTAAAAATAATTATATCAATTTAATTTCCTTTAGGGAAATATGCTTAGAATTTTTAAATCCTATAATCTGTTAAGATTTAAGTATATGACATGTTTTTATCACCACTAAGCTAAATTATCTATATGTTCAAAATTGTATTCAAGTGCAAAAAATCCTTAAACAATGGTTAGAAAGGCAATACAGTATTTCTAGAAGCTTGCCTAGACATTATATAAAAATGCTTGAATTGTAAACTTCACAGGTAACTTATATACCATATATCATGATGATAAATGTATGCGCTTTGTTAATTCTTCTCTGATTTGGTTGTATACATTTCATGAGTAGAAAAACCAAAAGAGGGATAAAGACGCTCAGAAAAAGCTTGGTTATGAAACAGATTGGAATTTGGGTTTTAGTCATCAAAGATGTGATAAACAACACTGGGCATTAATGCAGAAAACAGATTGAGCTTTTTAATGGGACATCAAATAAGACTTTATTAGCATCTATTAGGTTCAACCCAAAGCTCAGGAAATAGCATTAATGAGCATCATATATCAGTCTGTCTGTTATTAGATAACAGTATCCCTTAAAACTAGCAAGCCATATAGTACTTTATACTTTTTTACCTTTATCTTTAGAATTAGCTGACATTCTATTGTGTTACACTGGCCTTACTATTAGTAATAGTGAACCAATTTATAAACCCATTAGTGACACTTTTTCCAGAAGATAAAAACAGTCAAAATTATCTGGCAGCAATTAATCTTAATGGCTGTATGCAGTAAACAGCAATGGGCTAATTCCAGCTCTGTCAGCCCCATCAAACAATCCCGCATTAGGCAGCTTTTCAGTGATCCATTAAGCATATTCAGAACAACAACAAATTCAATGCTGAAGGCATATGCACTAAACATTACAACAGTGATCTTCTGAAGCCATCATTATCTCTTAAATAGTACTTCCCCCATGTATTATCATTATGCTGTACATTAGAAATACTTTGATTAAACTCCCTTAATTCATAACAGACAGCTGCAGACCATTTATGCAGTTAATCTCAACACAACAGCTATTGAGGAAATATAACAAATGAAGGCTGTAAACTGGAAGTCATTACTATGAAAGATACTGGTTTTCTAGCCCTCTTAGAGCAGAGTGCACCATAAGGGTGGGCTTTGGGCCTACAATAATGTGGATGGAACCGTTAATGCCCTTCCACTTTCCTGTCACATCTGTCCCTGGGGTTGTTGTGATCCAGACGGGGCATGTGACCAGTTTAGGCTGAGCCACGTGTCCCACACATTGACCAACGTAAGGGCTCCAGGAGGACCCAAACTATGGTTAACTTCTAATTTTCCAGCTTTGGTAGTAAGAAGTCAAGGTTTTGACTGAGTACAAATAATCTCATTGATTTCACTGAATAATGAGTAAAGCACTGAAAAACTATTCTGGTTGTACACTAATAATATCATCATTAGCAGTAGTTTTTAATATCTTTTCCAAAAAGTAGTATCTTTTAAAGTTTAATTCATAATACTTGAGTTTACATACGTTAAAAAAAATCCCTACTGAATTTCCTCTGTAAACTTTCTTCCCCTTGTGATAGTTTCACTTATCAATTCAGAAAAGTTTTGCATGAAAAAAACAAAAAAACAAAAACACCTCCTAAATTCAAGGAGCCACACCCCAATTTCATGTTTTGCGGAATAAAATACACACTGGCTTAATTTGATGAACAAGAAAACTGTGTCGATTTTCTCCACACTACACCTTCACAGAACCTTTCCTTTTCGCAGGTAGAGAAGCCATAAACATGTGTATGAATGGGCTCTATGTGCCTGACATTTTTTTTTTTCTTTCTATAGGGTTTATTTCAAAGTCCTAAACCACAGACACCGTGTCTACTTTTTGATGAAACGGTCAGTTAATTAGAACATAAATTTAGAGTCCCCTTGCCAACTCTGACAGTACTTTCAGCTTTGGGGGTTAGCATAAATGAATTAAATATTGATTCAAAATATAAAGTACTGTCATTATAAAGCAATAAGTGTCTAGCTTTCAGAGGGAAAGACCAATTCCCATGGCAGTTTACACTGAATGTCTAAGGAGATTTCCACAATCACGGCTAGATTGACCGATCCCTCCAAGGTGCCCATAAACACAAGAATATTAATATTTGCTGCTCAGTCCCCTTAGTCACCTTTGGTGCTGTAGAGATCCCTCCCTGTACTGTCCCCCACACTCCCTGCTCTCACTTCTTGAACATAGGGCTTTGAAGAACAGCAGCTCTGGGGAGGAGAGCTTTTCTTACTTTTTTTCCCCTAAATTTGTTTGAAAGGCACGGGTATTGTCACTGCTGGCTGACGCCCTTGTTTCTCAGACCTTGCATTTATGAGAAAGCTCTGGCAAATCCCTTCTGGACAACTGGGCATGCTGATACTGAATTCTGGCTCACAGTGCAGTTTAAAACAACCAGGACTTTCACCCATGTTGAAAGGTCTTCCCATTCTGAGTCTTAGCTTCCTGCCATGTGAGTTATAAAGCACTACCACTGGTTGTTGAGGTGCTCAATAAGTCTGAGAAATAACGCCACTCCTTAGAAATTCATAATGCATGTCAATGTAGTAAAACCTCTGAGAAGTCATAGAGAAAGCAAGCCTGTTTAATTGTGATTAACTTAGCATGCTCAAATCTACTTGGCTGAGTTTTTTTTTTTTTTTTTTTATAGAACAACCTTTAACATCTTGTAGGGCACTAATCTTTTATAGAATATATTTTGGGACCTGTTTTTCTAAATTCCTGCTTGTGATGTTTATGCCTCAAAATTGATCTGTGGCAGGAAAGAACACCTTTGCAAATTAATTAATTGTGCTTTCTTCCGATTTTTGTTTGTAAGCTTTTGTTTAGGTTACAGATACTCCACTGTTGAAAGTGGCCATCAGCAAATGAAATTAGGTTTGGAATTCACAAACTTATTTGACTTTTATTTTTCCCATTCATTCCAAGAATCTAACTTCAGTAAACAATGTTCCTACAGACATTTTTCTGATTGAGACATAAGGTTTTCTTAAACTAATGATTAGATTTTTGTAACTGATGTTAAATGTGGATAATTGATAAATGTGCTCCTTTTTCCTTCTATGAGACATCATCTTTAGCTACAACACAATGATATTTAGAGTTCTATCATATTTAGAGTTCTATCTAGATATATTTACATATACATAAAGTAGGAGCACCTTGCTTAGCTAGGGACCAAGATTTTCAAAAGATGTAATAATATGTCTTTTGACATAAGATAGATATATATATATATGTATATATGTTCTCTATTCAGGCAACTCCCAATTATGAGTAAGTAACTCCTATACTTATTTGAAGTACATTGCTTGGGATCTCAGATTACATTTTTCCAAAGGAATTTATTACAAGTTGTCATTACGTTCTAGATTTAACCTATAAAAGTCTGTTTAATCCACAGCAACTGCATTGCTGACATGCTAGGTACACTAAGAAAATAAGCCAAATGTCAGCAGGGTTGTCATGCTGATAAGTTAAATCAAGTAGAAAAATAATAAGGTGATAAAATTGAGTAAGAGATCCTTTAAAAAGTTTGATCTAAAATACCGATGCTTGAAGAAACATAGGTTTAATTTTAAAAGTTGCAGCATAGGCCAAGACTTGTGTGTACATGTACACGTGTGTGTCTATGTGTCGCTTTGGCAATATTTCTAAGGACCCTTCCAAACTCATGTCCTCACTACCACAGCCCTCCGTGATACAGATGTTTCACATCAGGTCTCATTCCAGGAGAGAGGGATGAGATTCCTCTGTGGCATATATGTGAAATGAAGATAGAGAATAGGAAAAAGATTGTTCTTTACACAATCTAGGCAGGAATTGGCAGCACAAAGGAAAGGGGAAAGTCGTTCTAAGTGTGTTTGTGAGAGGGAGAGAGTGAGCGAGAGCAGAGAGGAGGGGAAGAGAGAAAAAGGGGCAGGAAAAGAGCGAACACTTTGGATGGACTTAGATCAAGCATGAGCAGTGAAACCCAGAAAAACTTGGGGGGACCCACACCTGTGAAATGATTTTCTGAAGGTGGACATTCTGAGAAGGAAGTCAGGAGAAGGGAGTAGGCTCGCTGCTATATGCCTGGTGTCCGGTTTGTCTTGGTTTTTGCCTCAAACATCTGTATATCCCACCAAATCCCACGTTGTTGTTGATTCCTGTTCTAGGTCACAGTTCTGCTGGCTAAGTTCTTATTTTCTTTCCTTAGTTTGTTGTCTGGTTCTCCACTGAGCTGGTGCTTGGTGGTCAGCCATTTTTCCCAGAAGGATGAGTCCTGTGTCCTGCCCTACCCCACACCTCGACAGCTGATGCTGACCCTTCTCTTTCCCACCCAGTTCTCACTTCCTCCTGGTCCTCACTCTCACCTCTGCAGAGCTCCTGGCATGCTTCCTGCCATTCTGGATCCTCCAGGAGCTTCTGAACACTTGGGCTTCCCAACCCATCCTTTACATTGCACCTAGAGTCCTCTTAACATAAGGCCTTGTCAGAACTCAGAGTCCCATGCCTGATAAAAGTCTGTGTGTTTTTAGCAGGACCCATCCTCTGCCAACTCCACTATTTTGTTTCCCACATCCTGAGCTCCAACTCTCTGGACCGCCTGTCTGTTCGTAAATGCACCATGTTGACTCTCACTTCCGTGTCTTTGCCCATCCCTGTTTCTTTCTCCCAACTTTTTCCCCATTAACCGACTTTTACTCATCAATACTAAGTTCATTTAGTATGTCTTTTGAAAATCTTGATCTCTAGCTAAGCAAGATGCTCCTACTCACTGAATTATAATTCACTGAACTGTCGGTACTTTCCTTTCTCATTGAACTGCTTGAGAACAAGAATGATGTCTTTCATTTTACAGCACAAGCAAATAGCATACTTCTTGGAACCTAGTAGGTACTTTAAAAATGTTTATTGAATGAATGAACCAATATATAGAAATACCACATAGAGTGACTGCTCCTTTTTCTAGCATAATACAAGATTGCAGAATTTTTAAATGGTTAACAGTTATTAGGTAACGGAAGTTAACCGTATTCTATAGGGAAAAGGATATTTTTAGAATCCCTACGAAAAGATCAGCAAGTGCTGATCTGCGTGTGGTAGGATTACAGGTGATTTTGTTTTACTTTTATGTGCATGAGTGCATTGCCTAAATTTTTAGAAAGAACGTGCTTGTTTTTATTATAATATAAACAAGAGCATGAATCCTCAAAAAATGAAGTGTCTCCTTAACACGCTTCGTAGCTTTACAAGGAAACAGAACACACAGGGCATATTGCTGCTGTTTTTGTGGTTCCTGCTTTCTTCTGCATGCCTTGTTTCTCTGTTTCTTTCCTCTTCCTCATTTTTCTTTTCCAAAAAGTCACTGATAGCAGCCTTGGCCTGAGCTCGGTGAGATTTGGATCATGTTTGCACAGTTAAAATGCTTCCTGTTGGATATTTCAAATATTTACGCATCAGTGTCCTTATTGCTACGTCTCAGATAATCTGGACTCCTGTCCATCATTGACCATCTCATCCTCATGGTCAACGTGTCCCAAAGTCATGGTGGCAAGAATGCTGGAGAGCATTTCTAGGGAAACAGTTTATCCTAAAAGAGGAATGTCAGAGTCAGTCATTTATTTGCTTCAAGACACATGATACCGGTTTCTCCTAAGGAGATTGAGTGACTGGTTTACCAAACTAAAATACAGGAACCCAGCCAGACTCCCCACATGCCTCCCTCCCACAGCCAAGTGTGTCCTGAGTCGTCCTCTAGAACATGAAGGCAACACCTCTGGCCATGATGGGGCCGAGAAGAGTACACCATAAAATGTTGTGATGGGCTAGTGCTTCTGAGCTCCACTCAATGGGCCTTTTATTCCCATGAAAGTTAACAAATCCTCTTAAATAGCAACGCAATATTGAATGTTGTTTTCACATATTGAGGGAAATTGGCACACTAGTCTAATAGTATTAAAGATGATCTAGAAAAAGGCATACTGACACTTGGAACACACTGGCCTTCTACATTCATAACGGCATCAGGGACTGTGGTCTTCTGCCTTCATCATGAGGTTAAATAGACTAAATCAATTAAATGCAACAAACAGCAAGCGGGTACCTAATAATTTAAGGTACCGTGATGGGGGTTTGGAGAATACAACCAGAATGAAACATGATCCCAGTGGTCAAGGTGTGTAGAAAGGAACTGTGATAAAAATGCTCTTCTCTTTGACCATAACTCAGTATGAAAACATGTTTATTTCCATTCATTAGATTATTTTATTTTAGCTGATATTTCTTCTCATATCCTTCTTAAAAACTTCAGTAACTTACAAACCACATTATCCATACCTTTTAAGCAAGCTTCTATTTGTTCATTGATGTCATTTATTTATGACTTCACCCAACAAATATTTAACGCTGCTATGTGTAAGGAACTGTTCTAGAAGCTTAGAGAGGTAGTGGTTCAATACACACACACACTTTTATTACACAGTTGATTCTTGAGTGTCACAGGTTTGAAGTGCACAGTCCACTTACAGATACATTTTCTTCCACCTCTGCGCACTGAGACAGCAAAACCCACTCCTCCCCTCCCTCCTCCCCAGCAGCCTACTCAACGTGGAGACTACAAGGATGAATACCTTTATAATGCTCCCCAAGATCAGAGCTCCCCAAGATCAGTTGGACTCTGTTGAGGCCGCCTTTTCCCTTCTAGTCCTGTCTCGTCTCCTTCCCTTCCTCCATGTAGGTCCTTATAGGTATCCTTATTCAATCTCCTGCCCCATAAGCCCCAGTTCTGTGTCTGCAGCCTGGAGAGCCCCAGTAGAACTATTGTGTAAGAAAATAAAGTGCTTTTGGTGTCATGCATGCAATGAGAGCCCAGGGCTCTTGTTAGAATCTTGAAGGCGCCTGTCATCATGTTTGCCTTGAGGGGCTATCAGCCAGGGAGCTGTCTCACACTGTGTTCAGAGAAAGGGAATTTTCTCTCTGGGAATTTTCAACCATGCTCCATGGAGGGAACGATGTGTGCACAGCACTGGTAGCTCAGTAAATATGTACTAAAAATTAAAAATATACATTTCAAACCTTTACCCTGTGCTTGGATTTGGAAGGTCCTGTGGACCACTCTGAGCCACAGAGCACATGTGGGCGCTAGGGACAAGGCCAGCTCTGGAGGTGAGGGATGACCTCTGCAGTGTTACGTGAGAAAGAGAAAAAAACAGGCTTATCTTCCTGCCACATTCTCTGCAAACTGCAAAGGAAAACTGAGCTATTCAGCAAGGTTGACTGAGAAAATAGAGCAGCACTGTTAGAGAAATTCAGAAATCATTTAAAGGACAGAAATGTTTACTTTCTCAAATATCGTGAGCAAGTGCTACGAAGCATAATTTCACCTCCTCCCAATTTTATATCTTCCTCTGATATTTTATCATAATACTTTTATGGCTTTTTCTGAAGTGTTTTGAGAAGATAATTTTTTTGCAGGTATCTTTCATATGCATCAGCTTATTGGCATAAACAAGTTAGATAATAAATTTAGCTGCAATACAGAACGACATTAAACATAATGTGTACTGTATAAAGGCCACTGGAATGAAGTTGACATTTTATTGTATTTCAGCATAAAAATATATGGCAACTTTTGTGGACATTATTAATAATTTGAATTCTGTACATGCAAAAGACATCCAAATATATTGTCTTAAAATAATAAATGCTCAGTCAATGCACCATAGGTTTTTGATCAAAGTTCATTACCTCCATGCTGTCCGTGGCCTAGGTGGGCCACGGTGACTATTAAGTTTTTCGAAGAAGTAAAATGGTTCAGTGGCTCAGGGTTGGGAGACCCAGTTGGCTTCAGATCCTGGTCTTCCCCTCCATAGCTGCATGGCCTCAAGCAAGTCATTCAGTTTTGATGGCTCAGTTTCCTCATCTGTAAAATGGAGATGGAAATCATAGTACCTAACTTTTAGAGTTGTTTAAGAAGTTAATATACATCAAACACGTTGAACAGTGGCTGGCACGTAATAAACTGTAACTAGCTATTCTTATTCAAATGAATTTTCACCCCTAAAATATGCATTCAAGATATTTTGAGGCAGTTTGTTTCCCATGCACCAGACCTGGTTTCTCCCATTTGACAATGTCACTGAAATGATATTGGAGGACCAAACACTGTGCCAAGATAAGGCAGACACCCACTCCCCATGGAAGTGTCCATGGTTTTCCTGCCATTTTAAGCTATGGGATTCATTTATCATAGCTTTGGGGAAATACTTTACATACTTATTTCTCTTTTGGACACATGGATACAAAATACTTACCTATTTAGAGTTAAGTGCAAAATACTTGCTGAATAATTAACTTACACAGTGTCCAGTATGAAAGAATATTGGGGCTGGGTGCAGTGGCTTACACCTGTAATCCTAGCATTTTGGGAGGCCAAGGCAGGCAGATCACCTGAAGTCAGTAGTTCAAGACCAGCCTGGCCAACATGGTGAAACCCCGTCTCTACGATAATACCAAGCTTAGCTGGGCATGATGGTGGGTGCCTGTAATCCCAGCTACTCAGGAGGCTGAGGCGGGAGAATGGCTTGGACCAGGGAGGCGGAGGTTTCAGTGAGCCAAGACCACTCCATTCCACTCCGGGGGCGATGAAGGAGAAAAGAAAGGAAATTGGAGGTAAAAAGTAGCCTTTGTTAGCATCTGTACTAGGTGGGGTCTGGCATCCTTCAAAAGGGTTTGCAGTAATTATTTGAAGCTCTATTATTGCATCTGCACTTAGGCATTGACAGGTTGGTCTTACCCACTAGATTCCAGACATGCTTTAAAGAGGGCTTGCTTTGGAGTCTGTCAGATCTGGCTTAGACCCAGACTCTGACAAAGTGGGTGAGTTATGCAGCTATTCGGTGACATCTAATATCCTATCCCAAAGGACTGCTGTGAGCAGGAAGGAGGCATCAAATGTGGCAGTGCCTGATGAGGTCAGGCCAGGACCCAGGAACTTCTATACCTTATCATGCTCAGATATGGTAAGCGCTATTGTATCTGCAAAGCTAGATGCTTGGCACATCATGGGTACTTCACGCATGATTGCTAAATTTGAATTTGTGACAAGTCATTTCAAAATTCAGATCTAGGACCAAAAACACAGTATCTGTCAACATAAATGGTAGATCCTGGTTTTCCTTCAGCCCAGGAGTCTCGTTTCAGTAATCAATTCTTCTCCAAATGTCTTCATTCCATAAATAAAACAAACAAAAAATAGGTAAGAGGTTTGTTCATTTCAACTCCCACAATGTAGCTTACATTCAAAGTTTGGAAGCGTTTTCCAATTTTAGGCATCTTATTTCTCTGTTCTCTGAAATGGGTATAACACACTAAAGAATTTGCTAAAATTTAGTGTAAAGTACATTCTCAGCATTTGGACTGTGCATTTCATTTGAATCATGTTATTCAAATTCAGATTTATTAATGTTAACATCAGAGAGTCAATGACTAGAGAGTCAATATGCATGTCCACAAAGTGATACTGCTGTGGTCTATGGGGGAAATAGTCATTATAACAGCATCCAAGGGCAGACAGAAAAGTTTATAGCCATGGACTAATTATCCTTTTCAGGTCTCAAGTTTATATTATGGTGAAAATTCTTCTAAGCTTAGGTGGCTGCTAATGTGAATCCTAACTCAGTTATTGGATATATTTATCATGGTGGTCTTTCTTTAACGTTTCTACACTAAGTGGAGTGGACATGGACATTCAGAATACTACACATTCTGAAGCAATAAAATCTAATATGCGATAGTATTATTTCCAGTTTCTATTTAAGAGAGATACTTAAATGCCAACTTACATTTTATTCAATATTTAATTTTTTAAAAATAATGAATTTTCTCACCACATTCCCACCCCCTCACACTTTTTTGAGTCCACCTCCCTGGATTTCATGAAAATAGAGCCTTCACATACAACAAAGAAGGTACTTTCTGGAAGGCTGTGCTATGGAACTGCAGTCTTCTCTCTCAAGTCAAGTATATTTCTGTCTTTCTTAAAGCTACAAAGCTACAACAATGTTTATATTCATATGAAGTATTTCAGCAATTCATAGCCAATTTATCAATGACCACGCAGCTGCAGGCCTTGCAGTTTAAAAAAATATACCAGCTCACTTAGTGTTTACATAGGATCTGAAAGCGCCACGTCCTGGCAGGGGGATGGGAACTACCGGAGTCATTAGAAAGGTACTCTGGAGCGCCTGCCTGTGATGGTAGGGATGTTTGCATTATAGCCCAACACATCATTAAGGACACAATTGTTATTTAATGTGGCACAATCATCTTTCTACTCTTCATGAAATCCACTTAAGTAATTACCTTCTTAGCTCATTGGCTCTGTGAGCCGCCTGGTTGGAAAGGGTTATATCTAAGGAAATATTAAAAACCGGGCGCACACTGTTGCCCCTTTAAGCTGACTTGTATTTATTAATATATTCAAAATGAAGATCTTTCTTCCTGCCCTGAAAGAGGGAGGAAACTCCAAGGTAAATAAATGCTCTGGAGCATTGGCAGGGTTTAAAGGGAATAAGAACACATTAGCCAAAGTCTCTTCACTGTCAGCCATTCTTAAAAAAACAGCTGATACCTGCATATTGCCTGAGCTCTTTGTAGTTTCAGTCTGACATCTGTTTTAGCCAATCAATTTTTCATTAAAGTCAAAATGCTGCTTTAAAATTTGCCTTGGCTTTCTCTTTTTAAGACAAGAACAAATTTATGACGAAAATATTCCTTTACAAACTCGATGCAATAGCTTACTAAGCTGTGTGGATCTTCATAAGTGGCATAGTTTTGAAGACTCACTTTGAATAGTCTAGATATTAAGACAGAAATTTTAAAGAATCCACAGAACTTATTTTCAGAGCACATTTAAATGTCTTTTAAGCAGATTTTTTTTTATTATGACGTGTCCAAGATGAGCTTGCAGAGATTCAGCATCATTTAAGGAGAGCAGAGCCGAAGTACAGAATTGAAATTACTTGAAAACACACATCTGCATTTTAAACTTTAAGTTCCTTTTCAAAATACACTGTACAATCCATGTTTACTATAAATACAGCGAGGTAAGTCTGAAATACCTTTATCTTATTTGGTGGATCTGTGTTTGAGCCTCTTTGTTTGAACAGAAGTGTCAGCTGTATTTTACTTTATTATATAAAAAAGTTTCAGAATTTAATTAAGGGTCAAGTACCAGCAGTAGATAAATGCAACAGCGAAAGCATATTTCTGATCACTCTAAAGTCTGCAATCATGAAAATTATTATCATTGAGTAAAACTGGTCTCAATGATGGTGACTGGGAGATGGATTCTGTGTTACTCAGCCATCATTTACATAATAATGGGTTCCAGTTTTCATCAGCACCTTTTGTTTGTACAGTGCTTACTGCTACAGTAAATTGTCAAAATGTCATTCCTCTCCAATCAGCCAGAAAATATCAACAGTAAACAAGGCACAGGAAGAAATTCTCTGATTAGGAGAGTGGCAGAGGAAGAGCAGAGCTGAAGTCTCCATGATCGCTTGAAACATGTTATTCTGGTGTTCCCAGTAATACAGTCGTACAGATTATGAAAATTACTTCTCTCTCTCGCCACCTCCACCCAGCCCCTTTAATGAAGAAATACCCCTCTGCTGCCGAGGTCACTCGGAAACTTCAGGACAATCGCTGGGGATTAATAGATTTACATATGTATTTGTTGGTGCCACTCTGTTCCCTCTTACTGGGGATCAGCCTCTCTTTTTTTCTGGCAGGGTATCTCGGATTAAACGGGGCCAGATTCTCCTACAGTGTTCTTGTCCCTGACTCGTGGCCAGTGGGGTTTCAGAGAATAAAGGAGCTGTGAAGAAGAATTTGGCCCGTGCCCACGCTGCCATCACACGGGGCAGTGACAGAGAGGCTCCCATCAGCTGACTCGCCAATACTCTTCTTGTTTTAGCTGAAGAGCTGCCAGAGCAGGAACTCAGGAGCTGGGGAAGAGCCCCAGGCGGCAGCGAAGCCTTCCACTCTTTGCCTTTCTACTTGGCCATCACTTGAATTCGGAGACCAGGGACGAAGAAGGATGATAGCCAACTCCATAGCCAGCATTTAGGGCACTGAGCCCAGAGTGCCCAATGACCAGTTCTCCCCCTTTCTGCTCTCCTGCACCCCAGGCCACTCTTCCACAACATTTTAAAGTTGGAAAGAGACATGAAATCAACAGCTCTTCCTGTTCCTCAGTGAAATCTCCTCAGGTCTAGGAAAGGATGAGGATGAATTAGTACAGTATATGCCTTATAACCATTATAGTTACAAAGTATATTAAAATTAAAGACTTCACATTGTGTCTGAAATAAAAATGAATATAGTGGCATCCTGCCAAGAGTCCCAGAAACCACTCTTGTGTGGAATTGAAACGTTTGGCTCATATAATACTTAATTCATTTTTATGAAATGACAAGTTATATAAATGTATGTTTAAAACAGAGGGGTACAACATTTTTTTGGTAAGGTTTTTTTTTTTTTGGATTCTGGCGTATATAGCTACACGATTGGGACTTATTTCTAAACAGAACAAAAAAGAATATGTTTTTCTAAAATGGCACATTAAAGCTATATTTTCCCAAAATATTTCCAAATATGATCATGCAGTTAGGTTGCCCATGGCAAAGCTCACAGTACCTTCATTGGAAATGAATAGGAGTTTTAAAACGTTTCTATTGAAACGAAGTGTTGACATCAGGAAATATTTTGTACTGCTTTCAGTTTTCTTACCATGCACTTTATTTTGCTTGGCTACTTTTAATTTTTTTCCCCCACTTCTCTTTGAAAATCCGACATTGTCCAAACCGTTTCGATTAAGAAGCTTGCCTGAATGAAAAGCGCCGTGATGCTGTGGTGGTG